TGCGTTGCACATGTGACATCTCAACGCCTGCTAGTCCATGTGAGTGTGTGTGAGGTTGTGATTGCTGGTGAGTGTGTGGTTCCCCAGGGGCTAAGGGGTTGTGGCGCACAGGGCGCTTGGAGCACAACATCCTCCAACTCTTCAGCGCTGTCGGCGTCAAGGATGGGGGATTTAAGAATTATTAAATATTTTACATATGGCGTAATATAGTTAACATACATGTATGATGTAGCGAATAATGATAAAATAACCCCCATGTGTACCCACCACTCAGTTTAAGAAATAGAGCATGATCAGTAGTTAGAAGCCCCTGGGTGCCCCTGCGCACAGCAGCCCTCTCCTCCAGAATCATCCTGTATTTTCTGTTCATTAATTCCTTACTTTTTAAAGGGATCCTCATATAGGTGTATATGTCTAAACAATATGTTGTTTTAGCCTTTCCTCATAGAAATGGAATCATGCCAGGCATCTGGCTCCTAGTTGTCACTAGGGGTCACTAGGAAGTCATCAGGATGTCTTAGGCCGCCTGAAATCGAATTCCAACCTCCTTTTTGTTTTTGGTTTTGTTTTGACTGTGCATCGGTTGTGAGATATGTCCACCATCCACATTTACACATTGAAGTGTGTGGCTGTAATTCATTTACAAAAATCAATTGCTGCATATTATTTTATTTTCTGAGTACATTGCTAGTGTATGAGTATATCATGGTTTTATAAATGCATTCTCAATAAGCCCGTAGACAGCTGGGTTGTTTCCAGGCTTTTGTCCTCCCCTTCTCCACTTTTGTGCTGTTTCAAACAGTGTACCACCCCAGGAGTGGGTCACAGGATTTGTGCGTCTTTTTAGACATTGCCAAATTGGTTTTTCAAAGTTATTCTGGCAATTGAATTCCCACCAGCAGTGTATGAGAGTTTCCATTTTTTCCACAGCCATGCCAACATTGGACATTATTAGTTTGATTTTTGGCAATCTTTTGGACGCACTGTGCATAGTAGCTCATTGGCATTTTAATTTGCATTTTCCTGATTACTAATGAGGTGCCCTATGACTCATATATTTAGTAACTGTTTGAGTTTACTTTTTTGTGAAATATTTGATCATCAGTTTTCCCTAGGTTTAGTTTGTTTGCCTCTTTGCTTTTTAGGCATTATTTGTGTATCTGATGCCAATCCTTTATTTTATTTGTGTTGCAGGCATCTTCTCCCATTCACTCTATTTGTGGTGTCTTGGGATAACAGGAAATCCTTAATTTGAATGGAGTCGAACGTATTCATCTTTTCCTTTCCATTGCTCCCGCATTAGGATCATTTGTTGTCCCTGCATGAGTCTTTGAAGGAGTTGATCCTGTCTGCTCTGAGTGTCTCTTCCATTGTGTAGCAAGTGTCAAGATCTGTTCAATCTTATCACTTCCTTCTGCTCTATTGAATCTGCTATTTAACTGGCCTATTTTAAATTTTTTTTAGCATTTCATTTTCAAGTAATCTCTACAGCCAACGTGGGGGGCTCAAACTTACAACCCCGAGATCAAGAGTCCCACGCTCTTCTGACTGAGCCAGCCAGGCGTCCCTTGCCTGTTTAATTTTTAATTTCATTTAAAACATATTTCTAGGGGCGCCTGGATACCTCAGTCAGAAGAGCTTGCGACTCTTGATCTCAGGGTTGTAAGTTCGAGCCCCCCACGTTGGCTGTAGAGATTACCTAAATAAAAACAAAAACAAAGAACAAAACATATTTCTAGATGTTCCATGTGTTTCTTTTTCAACTCTTCATGGTCATTTTTATGGTCTTTTGTTCCTTACTCGCACTTTTGATACCTTTTTAAAATTTCTTTAAACTTTTTGAAATTGTTTTAAAACTGTCCAAATTGAAAATTAGTCATTGGGTAATTTATTCTAAAGAAAGACGTACACACAAGCCAAATAATATATGAACAAGGTTATTTATCCCAACATGATAAGAACAGCAAAAGATTGGGGGCACCTGGCTGGCCTAGTGGGTGAAGCGTGAGGCTTTTGATGGGGCTGAGTTCAAGCCCCACTTCGGGTGTAAAGATTACTTAAAAAATAAAATATTAAAAAAAAAAGAATAGCAAAAGATTGGAAACACCCTAAATGTCCATCAATTGAAGACTAGTTAAATAAAATATGTACATCCACAGGAAAACAATTCAATGCAGAGGAAAGAAAAGGAGAGGGAGAGGGAGAGAGGAGGGGGAGAAGGAGAGAGGGAGATGGAGGACGAGAGAGAGGAAGGGGGAGGAAGAGAAGGGAGAGAGAGAGAGGAAGGGAGGGAGTGAGGAGAAAGAAAAGGGATAGGGAAAAGATGAACTTAAAGGTACTGATCTAGATATAGATTCCAAAGTTCAAGGTGCAGAGCAGTCTGCTATCCCTTGGGTAACACAAGTGAACAATAAATAGGAACCCATAAAATGCAGATATGGTTCTTATAGTCCATAACATCAATATAGAAAAATCTATGGCTGTCATGTCTGCCATCACCACTCCTGTTAAAAAAAAGAAAAAGAAAAAGAAAAACTGTTCTTCAGCAGCCCTGGGGTAAATTGAATCACTAGGAAACCATTGCGGGGTTGAGGATCTATAGGAGGCTTTGGTTGTCTTAAGTGTGTCTGGAGATATTTGGGGGTCTCCAGTGGCCTTAGGGGTGTCTGGGTATATTTGCGGGGCCACAGTGCCTTTGGTGGCATCTGGGGATTTTCGAGGTCCATGGAGATCCCCTGGGTGGGGGGGGGGGGGGTCCCTGGCCTGACGGACGCTGACATCTCTTCCCCCACCTCCTCGCCCTCGTCTTCTGGCAGGAACTCCGCGGCCTGGGCGCAGCCTCCTCGCCCATGGCGGAGGCTGGAGCTCCCCGCCGCTTCCGGCGAGCAGTGCCCCGCGGCGAAGGGGCGGGGGCTATGCAGGAGCTGGCGCGGGCGCTGGCGCACCTGCTAGAGGCCGAAAGGCAGGAGCGAGCGCGGGCAGAGGCGCAGGAGGCCGAGGATCAGCAGGCGCGCGTCCTGGCACAGCTGCTGCGCGCCTGGAGCGCACCCCGCACTAACGACCCCGCGCTGGGCCTGGAGGACGACCCCGACGCGCCCGCCGCGCAGCTAGCCCGCGCCCTGCTCCGCGCCCGTCTGGACCCTGCAGCCCTCGCGGCCCAGCTTGTCCCTGCCCCTGCCGCTGCTCTCAGACCCCGGCCCCCAGTCTACGACGACGGCCCCACGGGCCCGGATGCAGAGGACGCCGGCGAGGAGACGCCAGATGTGGACCCGGAGCTGCTGAGGTAGCCCAGCAAGGGGCGGGCAGGGGGCGGTGCCTGCATCCTGCGGGGGGAAGGAAGGCGAGAGGGGACGGCTGGGGCCTGCCTCACAGCGTGGTGCCAACACCTAGGCCCTGGGACCCTAGGAAGGAGTGAGGAGCTGGACCCAGGGTGTAGGGTCAGAGATGTCTGGCTGGGGAGAAAGTGGGGGGAACGGGACTCTCGGTCCCGGGAAGGGGGCTCCAATGTCTGCTTCCTGGGGGGAGTAGTGGGGGGCAGGGAAACTATAGTTTCTGGGATGGGAGGCAGGGACAGCTGGAAAGCAGTGGGCTGGGGACGACTGGGTGGGGAGGAGGCTGGTGACTGCCGGGTCCCCAGGCAGTATGGGGTTGCAGGGTCATCTGGGACCTAGGCCCGCGATGTTGATGAGCGGGCATATTCTCCGTGCCTTCCACTCGGCTCTCCTGCAGGTATTTGCTGGGGCGGATCCTGGCGGGGAGCGCGGACCCCGAGGCTGTGGCTGCCCCGCGCCGCCTCCGCCGCGCCGCGGACCAGGATCTGAGCCCGGAGGTGCCCCCTGAGGGTGTGCTGGGGGCCCTGCTGCGGGTGAAGCGCCTGGAGAACCCTTCGCCCCAGGCGCCGGTGCGCCGCCTCCTGCCCCCCTGAGCACCGCCTGAATCCTGCGCGCCCTCCGGCCCAGGACCACCCACCCCAACACCCCACCTGCTCCCCGTCGGCACACTGAGAGAGGCTTACCCCGTCAGCTGCAGTTGCTGCCCTTGGACTCCCAAGATCGCCGCTCTTGCCCCCACAATAAATGCGATCTAAAGCAGCTATTTGCTTGTCTGAGTGGCAGTTTCTAGGGGGCTGGTGGGCTGTATGGTGATGGCTGCCCTTAGACAAAGGCAGAGGGACCCCTGCCCTGGGGCGTTTGAAACACCCTCCCCCACTCTAAAGCCTCTTCTCGCAGGAGGAGGCATCCATAAAGACAATGGTAGTAACCACCCAGATCCCATGCCCTACTCCGGAAGGCTTGGAGGACTCTTTCAGGGGCCCGCAGTAGCATCTTTCTAGGGTCCATCCTTCTGAGGACCAAGGGGTGGCTGTGAGGTGGGAGCAGAGTTTGGGCTGTACGGAGGGGGGGGGGGGGCGGTGTCCAAAAGCACACGTGAGCGCTTCCAGATGCAGGGAGGGGCTCCCAGTGGGAAGAGAGGGAGCAAGCTGCAGGCCTTATCCTGGCTTGGAACTCTGAGTCTGAGAAATTAGAACCTGGGGCTCCAGGTCATTAACAAAGTGTCTTTGTCAGGGCAGAAAGCTAGGGTGCATTTTGAGTTAGCTTGATTTCTAATGTTGACATACTGAGTTCCACAGTATAGAGGCTCGCTCTACCTGTACTCTCACCCAGCCCTGCACTATTGGGAGTTGGTGTGGTGGTAGCTGGTTTATGCTCCTGCCCTTTGCACTGGCTATTCCCTCTGCCCCAGGTTACCTGCAAATTTTTGCTCAAATGTCACCTACTCGATAAGGCTTTCCTCGACCTCCCCCACTTTTTTTTCCTACACCTGCCTTATGTTAGATCTAGGAGGGCAGGGATTTTTAAGTGTCTGTGCCTCTCCATCCTTTGCATTCAAAGCAGGGCCTGGCACACACTGGGCTTCCCCCGCCAGCATTTCTTGAATGAAAGAAATCTCACAACATTCTCTCAGTTTCACTCCCACCCACAGAACACTTGGCACAGAGGCAGCTTTGAAACCTGAGAACACCATTTATTTTTGCACAAAATCTCTTAGCTCAACAGTAACCAGTACTATGCCCTACATTATCAGATGCCCATCACCAAAGAAAAAACTCCCCGAGAGAGAGGGATTCATCTATCCCCAGTACACCAACAGTGTCCCCACACAGCTAACTGCTTCCGAGGTTGCATGTCTAGGAACCACCACCCTGGCCTGGGGGAGGGCCACTTTTCTTGACCAAGATCTTTAGGCCACGGAGCAGCCGCAGCGGCACATGGCCTTCTCGTGCCGGCCCTTCTCCCCACCTGGCCCTGCCACGGCCTCTTTTGCCATGGCCTCCCGGACCTTTTGGATCTCATGGATGAGCAGGGTGAAGGCCTCTTCTACACCTTGCCGCGTCTTGGCTGAGGTCTCCACGAAGGGGGCTCCCCAGCTCTTCGCAAGGGCTGCAGCGGCCGCACGAGCGTCTCCGGTGGTGGTCACAAGGTCACACTTGTTGCCCACAAGGACCAGGGGCTGGGTGTGGTGAGGGCCCCAGGTGGCCCGCATCTGCTGCAGCTGGGTTAAAGACGAGGGGTCATCCAGGGCAAAGACCCCCAGCACACCATCCCCGATCGCCACACACTGGTCACGCAGGGCCCTATGGGTGGCCTGCCCTGCCGTGTCCAGGACATTCAGAATGCAGCCCCCGTGGCCCAGGGCCACCTCCTTCCAGTAGGAATCCTGGATCGTGGGGTCGTGGTCTTCCACGAAGCACTGGTGGTTCAGCTGGATGGTGAGCGCACTCTTCCCCACGCCACTCGCGCCCACCACTACCGCCTTGTACTCAGGCAGCTGCTTGCTGACACCCTTGGGGGGTCCCTGCGCCCTCTGGCTCTCCTCCTGGGAGCTAAGGCTCCACGTGCCCAGGCCCAGATCAAACATGTTAGGCTTTCTTGGCAGTGCCATTACCCCGTGGGCAGCTCAGGGAAGGGATGTGAACACCAGACCCTACGAGGGAAAGAGAAGAAAAGACAATGGGGGCGGGGGTAGGTTAGGCAAGACCATTTGGGGGCAAGGGGACAGTTGGGTGGCATCGCATCACTTTCCCTAAGGGCCTAGGTGTGTGCGAATCACCCTCTAATATACTATATACATTATTTATGTTGCTTAATTTCTTTCTGTCTCATTCCCTCTATGTGAAGGCAGTGATTTTAAAAAGTTTTATTTACTTTTAATTGATAGACCATAAAGCCAATCCAGTTAAAGTGCACAATTCACTGTTTTTTAGTATATTCAACTGTTCTGCAACCATCACCATGATTTTTTTTTTTTTTTTACACTTTAAGTAATCTCTACACCCAACACGCGACTCGAACCTACAACCTCGAGGTCCGGAGTCGCATGCGCCCCCACCATCACCATAATCTACTTTTAAAATATTTCCATCACCCGGAAAAGAAAATCTCCTGCCCATTAGCAGTCCCTCCCTGTTCCGGAGGAGGGAGAGCAGGGATTTTGGTCAGTTTTTATTTGGTTTTGTATCACTGTTGATTGATCCCCAAGCCCCACATAGTGCCCCATCGCATATTATATGCTGAGCAACATTCCTGCCCCCAGGGAGTTTGTATTCTAAAAGGTGGAGACAATAAACCAAGTAAATCAGCAAATTATGAGGTCAGCTATCCATTAACATTAGAATTTAGCCTTTATTACCTATTCAGCATACAGCTATTGAGAACCTACTGTGTGGCAAGGACAAACAACTGGGAAAATTGTTACCAAACCCTGGCTGCCAGGAACTTGTCATTCTAGTCAGGAAAACAGACAACAAAGGGGAATCAGCAAAATATATCTCAACAATAGGTGATAAACATGCAGAAGGGGATTGGTTAATGTTAGGCATTCTTATTATTATTTAATTTTCGTGCATTATTTCCAGAGTTTTCCTGGCGTGCCAGGCATTGTGATGGGTGTGGGGAAGGAAGGTGGGAGGTGTGGGGGTGGGGAAGTGGCAGCGAACAAAATAGACTAAAATCCCTGCCCTTGGGAGGATTAGATTCTGGAAGTGAGAAGGAGCCGATCAACAAGATAAGCAAGTAAATTATCATGCAGTTAAGGAGAGGATGGGCACACAGCAGGCGCTCAATTAGTGTTAGCTATTAATAGCAAATTACGATTAAATTTATTCAATACACATTCTGGTCTTGGTTCAGTGTGTGGCCTCAGGAAATGCATCATAATGGCTGCTCCCTCGGGTCTTTCTGGAAACCCAGGGATGATGGCAGTTTGGGGACAGAGGGTGGGTTAGAGGTATCAGTGGGGGGTTCTGTTGAGTTTGAGCTCTGGAGGTCAGGGTTGGGGGGCGGGGCAGATCCCAGATGGGGATCCACCCGTGGGGTTCTCGGTAGATACGCTGGCTCAGAAAGAAGAGCGCGGGCCGGGGGGGGGGGCATGATAAAAAGGTAAACTGAGGATGGAGCTCTGCGGTACCCGAAGGCTTGGGGGACAGAAAGAGGGAGAAATGTAGCAGCAAAGATAGACTGAGGGGAGACATCGGATCGGATTCTGGTATGTGCCGACGGTGGAACTCATGGCGAGGATTTGCTCTTGAGTAAAAGGCGGGGGGGGGGGGGGGGGGGTGGTTCAAGGATAACTATCAGGATTGGGGTCCGGGCAGCTGGGAATCTGAGGGTGTTCTCGCCTGAGGCCAGGGACCTATGAGACGGGCTCTGCCCCGTTGGCAAAGGGCACCAGGAGCGATAAGGGGCAGCAGCATTCGTTCCTGGGAGCTCAGCAGGTGCCAGGAGACCCGCATGACGGCCCACTCGACTCTTCCCGCCACCCTGGAGATGCTGGGCCATCACCACCATGGCTGCTTTGTCAGTGCAGGAACAGCGATGCCGGGACAAGCGATTTGGCAGTGGCGGTGACCGGCCCGAGATCACAGGGCCCACGGGAGATCAACCACAGAGGGGTCTCGCGCTCCCTGGGTGATACCAAGTCACTTGCGGTGGGCCGAGACCTACGAGTGTCACCATAGGGCCTTTGAGACGCTGTGGCCCCACTCGGAGCCGGCTGGCCCATGGTGTGTGGATTCGCCCAGTTGCCAGGGGTGTGCGTCGAGGGGCGGGGGGCACCTGAACTTGAGCCCCTACAAGCCAACACCTGCGCCAGGTCACCCTCCCCTGGACTAAGCTGGGGAGGTGTGGGTGGGGGACCCGCAAGTTTTACCCTAAACTGTCCCCTGACTGTGGCCAGTCCCACTCGTCCAGTTCCTGGAGTCACCCCACTCCCGCCTCTCGGGACAGCAGCCCGCTTCCCGCCCGGTGCGGACACCTGCACCCAGGACTGTCTCCACAAAGGCGGCTGAGTGAGGGGCTGGAGGTGGCTCCTGACCCCTGAGAATAGGAGGCGATAGGGGAAGGTTTCCCCTCAAAGCCCACCTCTGTTGCGCCCTCACAACCCACCGGGAAAAGGCCTCCCTGCCCGGGGCCGGGGCTAGAGGCTTGGTGGCCCGGCTCACCTCAAGTCCTGAGAAAGATGGTTGCACTCGGGATGCGCTCGGAAGCAAGCCGTCCCAGCTCTCACAGGCCTGACAGATGAGACGCTCCAAACCCACCCCCCCCCCCCGCGAGGGGGCGGGGAGTGGGAGGGTGGGGGTGGGAGCTGGAGGGGAGAGGGATAACGCATGCGCAGTAGTCCTGGGGGGGGGGGCCTTCGTGGACACGCCCCCGCCTGGGGTGGGGGGGCTGAGTGCGGGAGGAGGCATCCAGCCCCAGCTTACCGTGTGCAAAGGCAGCGGTCTTGGGGGGGCGCTGCTAGAGAGCTGCGGGACCTCCTCGTGTACCCCTGCCTCCTGCTGCACCTCTCCCTTACCTTGTCCCCATGTGGGTTGTGACCTCAAGTTTTCAGTGTGCAGAGGGTGTCAGAGTTTTCACCTGAGCGGCCAGACTTGGGGATATGTATTGAGGGCCTCGTTGAGGCCATCGACCCTGGGCTGCCTCAAGCAGGCTTTTTCAAAGTAACTTGGGGGAGAGCGTTGTGCCCTTGTGCCCATTTCCGAAGGGAAGGAGTTGCAGGGGAGGGATTATTCTGTCAGGGCCTTAGGAATCCGATTTGAAGTGGACAGCTGTCAAAGCATTTCCCAGACTCCCTTGCAGCTATGGCAGTCACGTGACACCATTCTGACCAATCAGATGTATGCTGAGGTTGTTGGGGTGGGGCATCCAGAATGCTTTTTAAAGGGGGATGGCGGAGCTGGCGGCTCAGCCCCCTTCCCCTTCTTCTTTACTCGTGGTTATCTTGGAGTCATAAGATGGCCACGAAGAAAAGTCTAAGAAACTTCAGCCCAGACTCTGAGTTGCCAAAGCAATTCTCATTATATGGGAGAAATAAAACGCCCAAACTATCTTCCAATTCCTCATCCCTGGTCAATGGTAGGAACTCCTTCCCCCCAGGAAGTTACCCACGACCACCAAGTCTAAGTATGTTAAACCTAGACTCCCCACCCCCAAATCAGGACAAAAAGAGAGATGGGGAGAGAGGCCTGGTGAGGACATTTCCTGATAGTTTTCTTGCTCACTCAGCCCAGGGTGTAGCTGTGACTGGCTGTGAGGCTATTTCTGAGGCAGGCACATATTTTCTAGGGATTCCACCATTTAATCTATAGTACAACTAGCCAAGCCACCTGCCCTATTTCCAGTTAGTTCTCTGGATACTGGATGGGCAGGGGGTTGACCAGAGACCCATGCCCTCATTGCTCCGTTACTCATCAGACCCGTTGGCCAGGGGTGTGGGGTTCTGTACCCACTCAAGGTTAAAAGGCTCTCTCCAGGTTTTGTAACAGCTTGTACTTTATTACATATCCAACTCTGCTGTACCTGCCAGTTGATCCCCCTCCCAACAAAGCATCAGCTTAGTGTTATCAGCCCCTCCTGGGACCACTGAGCTACCCTCCTTTCCTTCCAGGGCAGAGTAGATAGAGTCCCTCAAGCAGGCAGTGGGCAGACAGAGATTTACAATTGATCATCACAATCATCTTACAAGTATTTATGCTTAAATCAGCACCCTTGGGGAGTTCAAAAGAGTCTTCAGGATGGGATGGAGTGAGGCTGCCCTTCATCCAGGGCCTCAGAAGGTAGAGAAGAGGAGCACATCCTGGGATTCAGTGTGAGTGGGGCATGTCCTCCCCAAACTTGTTCTGGTGGGCGATGTTCTTCACTTCTAGGAGAGCCTGAGGAGGCAAGAGAGGGTAGGTAAGAGAGAGTGAGGACCCCTCCTCTACCTCAGCCAGGAGCTGCCCCTGCACCAGCCCTCAACCACCCTTCTGGGCTATCTCCCACGCAGAAGGGTCTCCATTCTCCCCTTACCCAATCGCAGAGGGTATGTGTGTGAGGGTGTATGTGTGCGCATGCGTTAGAGGGTCTGCCCAGGACCCACCTGGTGGTGGACATAGGCCTCACAGCTGTAACACCAGGTAGACAGATCGACGTAGCTGAGGACCAGCGGGTGTCCTGACCCTTCGTGGTGTTGCAGCATATGGGCACTGACATAACGACCACAGTAGACCTGGGGTTGGGGAGAGTATCGGGCAGGGATCAGCACTCACCTTCAGTTTGCTCCTGGGCCAACCTCCACTCCATCCCCTTCCTCCTCTGCTGCCTACCTGATAGCAAGACAGACACACCCAGTTCTCCTGGAGTGTTCCACAGTCCTGACAAGGTTGGGTCACGTCCAGGCCTGATTCAGGTGTGGGACATACTGCCACCAAATGGGGACACCAGGGCAGCGGTGTCACGGCATAAAAGATGGCCTGGAATGGGTGCAACTGAGTAAGCTAGGGACTCCATCTCCCTACTACATGTTCCTGCACCACATGCTCCTACCTGGAGGTGCAAATGGGCAAGAGAAGGAAGTCACAGTCTCCTCCCTGGTCCCTGAGCTCACCTGGTCAGTGTTAGCATGGACCCCAAAGCTCTGAATCAGCATGTCCTGACCTCCAGCTGCCTCTCCCAGTAGCTTATCCTCTTCTGGGATCTGAGATTCTGGTGCCTCCTGGATGTACAGAGGAAAGAGATGCATCTGAGAGGCCAGATTCTTGCCCCTTCTTCCCCCTACCTGGGTGTGGTGGGTCTTACCTGAGCCTTGCAGTTTAGTTCCAAGGTCCGGAGATTCTCAATCAGCTCACTGGGGGATATTTGGGATGTGGCACCTTGCTCAGGTGAGGCTGTAGGAGTCTGGTTGTCAGTACATAAAGCTGGAGGGGTTTGGATCATCTCAGCTCCCCCAACAGCCTCCTCTGAGGTGGTCTGGCCTGCTGTGGCCTCCACTGTGGCTGCCTGTGAGGTGGTCTGGTCCAGCATGGCTTTCTGTGTGGGAGCCTCCAAGGACTGGTCCTGACTGAGCTCCACCATAGCAGTCTCTGACTTAGGTTGGCCCAGAGTGGACTCTTCCACAGATGATGCTGAGACAGCCTTCTCTGTGCCTGCATCCAGAATGTTCCCTTCTGGCGTGGTCATCCTCTTAGCTGACCCAGGGTTGGTGACTGACTTAGAAAGGGAGGGTTCCTCCTTGTCTTCCACCTCTGGAACCATGGGAGGGAGATCCTTGAGTGTGGGTGCTAGCCCTATCCTACCTCTGATCCCTGACCTCCCCTGAGCCCCCGTTGCCCCAGTTCCCCACGCCTACTCACTCATGACCCGTAAGCTGCGCCAGTATCTGCGATGGACTTGGATGGTATCGATGATTGAGACCAGGGCCCCTGATAGTGGAGGCCGCGACAAGGTCAGCAGTGGTGGTGGGTCCCCAAGGAGGGAGCGGGTACAGGCAGCCATGGATTCCGAGATGGACGTCAGGTTATAGCCACCCTTTAAGAGAAAGGGGAGGAAAAGGTATGATGGGGGGCCCTCATGGAATCTGGGAGGCAAGATGTTCTGTCTCCCAATCTCCCTTTGGGGCCCTGCACGACCGTCAGAGGGGCAGCACCCATTGTGTGAGGTGGTTGTTGAGGGTGGTGTAAAGTACAACATGATAATTACCACAGTAATACTGAGGCAACATTAATAACAGTGGAGATTTATTAAGTGCTTGCTGTGTGCCAGACCCTATTCTAAGCACTTTATGTGTATCGACTCACTTAATCCTTACAACCACATGTGCTCAATCTGTACCGGAACCCCCTTCTCTCACATTCTATAGGAACCCCAGTCTCTGCTCTTTCTACAGATAAAGAAACTGAGGCTTAGGGTGGCTAGATGATGCATCGGAGGCCCTAACAGCTGGTTAGAGGCAGCGCTGGGGTTGGGGGCTGGGCTATCCGATGGAAGAGTTCATGTTCTTAACCATTCCCTTGCCCTGCCACAAGCATTCCTGGGCACACTGTGGGACTTTATAGCAGCCAGTTAATCTCTGTGAGTGATTGCCCTTATCTGCAAAGTAGTGAGTGATTGTCCTTATCCGAAAAGTAGTGAAAACAGCAGCACGTAAGGCTGCCAAGAGGGTTAAGCTAGTGTGTGATGACTCACAGTGATGAGAAACTACTTATACATTGCTCACCATATGCCAGGCACTTTTCCACGAGTAGCCGGCCCTATCTTACAGATGAAGAAACTGAGGCATGGGGGGCAGGGGCACTGAGTAACTTACAAAAGGTCAGTGAATTTACTTTGTCTTGGGAGCTTGCTAGAGGCAGTTCAGGTAGTGATAAAAAGCTTCAATGCTAGAGCCAGGCTGCTTGGGTTCAAGCCCTGGCTCTGCCATTATTAAATGTATGACCTCTGGCTGGTCACTATGCTTCTCTGTGCCTCAGTTTCCCTGATCTTGAGAGAGGAATATGACGAGCAGACTACCTCAGCAGGCTGCTTGGTCAAATAAGTGAATTAACAATACACACAAAGTTCCAAGAAGAGTGTTTTGCACATACTGAGCACTCAAGTTTGTCCAGATACTGGTATTATTAATGCCCAGTATGTGCCAACAATTCCAGGTGGGGATACTCAAAGCAGATTTTAGGAAATTGTCCCGAGTGTCACAGCCAGCCAGCAGAAAGGGCAGGACTTCAAGTTGTCCAAACCACCCTCCCACCACAGAAAGAGGGACCGAGAGTTACCTCTAGGATTAGGATAATGCGGCCATTGGCAAGGCCCATCAGCAGGTGGGTGAGGTGGGCATAGCCCTCAGGCGACACCTGGCAGCCCCCCAGTGGGTCCCCCCATGCAGCGTCAAAGCCCGCTGAGACCAGCACCAGCTCTGGGTTAAACTGGAGCAGGGAGAGAAGAGACACATGAGTGTGAAGGTGGAGACCTGGGTAGACGGTAGGTGAGGGCAACCCAGACACACAGACACGCAAGTCAGAAAAATGGAGACACGGGACCTGGAGACTGGGAGACACAAGCCCGGAGCCCTGAAAACAGGAAGGGGAGGACGTGGAGACACAAGACAGACAGACTCAGGGTCACAGAGACACAGAAACATGGAGACAGATCAACAGAGCTACTGTGGACACACCAAACACAGACTTAGAGACACAACACAGACATGGAGACATTTCCAGAAATGGACACTTGGGGACATGAGGCAGAGTCATAAGACTGAAACATGAAACTTGGAGACTCCGATGTCAAGAGATGGTAAAATGGGACATATGTATACAACACAGGGTTTTATACACACGGTGGCAAAGAGAGATGCACGCATACTTCCATCACAGAAGGTGACAACGCAAGTGCCACACACAGAAAATGGTCACCTACCCACATATAATCACACAGTAGCATACAGACTGAACTAACATCGTAGTAATCGCACACACACAAACAGTATCTCACAGAAGGGACAGTGAGCTACAGCCATCCCTGCACAGATACAACCACACACCTGCCATTACCAAAGTCACAACAGGCACACACGTGATTGTGCCCACAGGAGGTGGCTGCTTGCACACACACACAGTCACACACGCACAGAAGGGAGTCACAGCTGCTGTGTACATCCAGACACACGTACACATCTGAACATGCACGTCTGCAGAGGTCATGGAGCTGGTACTTCATCTGCCCCCCCCCCCCCACACACACACACTGCACACAGACAAGTTGGTCACCTACAGCCACTCAGGCAGAGTCAGGCAAATATATACAGGCCACTGCCAGTCAGAGACACACGAACAGCTGTGACAAACAGGCAGAGAGATGACTGTCACATGCATCCTCCCACATGCAGAAAGCCACACACCAGCTGTCACACGGACAGCAACGTGCAGTGACATATGGTATCACAGCCATCAAAGAAAGAAACGGTGGTGACAAAGAGCCATTTGTGCAGCCTCATGCACATACTTAAGCTCCTTCCCGCCTTGCACATTCAGTTCCACAATGACGGCTGTCTCATGGGGCCGCCATCACACACAGACAGGCACTAGTGATGCTGTATGCCTAGGACACGTATACGTATACAGCTAGGCACACGAAGATGACCCCCATGTACCCAGAAGTCCCTTACAGTTATGCACAGAGAAGGCAATCACATGTGGCAGAAACATGCCAAGGCCATCACGATGGCCACCCGCAGGCTGTCCCACAGGATCAGTCACCCAGAAGTCAGACATGCACAGATCCACCGTCACCCACACTGTCATCGTCGCACACATCCTGTACTGTACCTCGTAGGCAATAGGAAGCACCAGGCGATGCCACGCGGTCAGGTAGTCAGTGTCACCCACACGGGGTCCATTCCAGGCCACGTTGACAGTGAAGCCAGTGCCTGCGGCACGGCCTATCTGGCTGCTGGCACCCTCCTCCCCCATGGGAAAGAAGGTGCCATGGTCATACCGGTGCAGGGAAATGTACAGTACGCTGCCGGGTGGGAAGGGAGACCGTGGCTGGTTAGTGCCTCCCCACTCCCCTGCATGCCTGAGGCATGGCTCACCCACCTTCCAGACCACACCCCAAACCCCTCCCCTAGCCCCTCACCTGGGGTCCTCCTCAAATATGTGCTGAGTTCCATTACCATGATGGACATCCCAGTCCACTATCAGGATCCTGGGGAGGGAACGGCTCCTCAGTTAACCTGGGACACTGGCCCCCTGGGAAAGGGCAGGGGCTACACCCGTGGGGTCTGTCTGCAGGGGCATTTATTGCTGGTGGCTGAACTCTGGGTCCCTGGGGAAAGCAGTGGGTGGCAGGCTTGCGGGTCCTATCAGAGTAAGGATGAAAGCCAGAGCCTGGGTCCTGATGTCTTCACTATGGGTCCAAGCAAGTGCTTAGGGCCAGAGCCCTCCCCCACCCCACCCAGTATGGGTAAGTGTGGGGAGCTGGGATCCTGGGTTTCCTGAAGTAAGCACTGGGGACCTGGACCCCAAATTCTGTCAGGATAGCCATCAGGGGCCAGAAATGATGGAGCAGGGGGACCCTGGACCTTGTTTTGGAACTACCTGGGTGCCACAATCTGGGGGTCCTATTTGGGTAAGCTGTGCAAGGCTAGATCCTTGCTCCTTTTCGGGAGAAGTGCCGGGCAATTGTACCCTTGGGGATGTCTGGGTAAGTCCTGGGGGGCTGCACCATAGGGCCTGCTTAGTAAGCACTGGGCTGGTGGTGGAGGGGTCCCAGGGAGCCCTCACCGCAGCGCCTGCCCACTGATGGCCTGGGCATGGCGAGCAGCCACAGCCACAGAATTAAAAAAGCAGAAACCACAAGCGGCATCCCGCTCAGCATGGTGTCCTGGGGGACGCACCACAGCGGTACCATTCAAAACCTGGGGGAGGAGCAGGAAGCAAAGATTAGACCACCTGCCCTCACGGCTTTCTCTCCCCTTTATTCTCTTCTTCCGTCCTGCCACTACCCCTGGCTGCTAGGGGCCCCCAGCCTGCAGCCCCCATCTCCCCCCACCGCAATTGCCAGTAAGCAAGGTCTCCGGTGAGCAGGGGTCCTCCTCCCCACTGCAGGCCCCTCCTCTGTGCCCTCAGGCCCAGCCTCACCTCTCAGAGCCACCTCTCTCCACCCCCCCACCACATCTCCAGAGCTGGCACCCCACCCCAGGGAGAAGGTACCTCTCCTGCCAGCACAGCCTCCACCAGGCGGCAGACGGCGCCAGTGGCCAGCTGCGCACAGGCGAAGGTGCTGGGGCAGATGTAGATGGAATCAAAGTTGGAACACTCGCGGTGCAGCTCCCGGGTTTTCATCTTCTCTGTGGCCCGCAGACGACCCACGTACTCAGCACTGGAGGCACAGACAGGGCACAGGGGACAGCCAGCTGGTTCCGTCCCCTCCACGGCCCCTCCCGTGTCCCACAGCGGCTCCACCTACCAGAGAGGGAGAGCCCGTGCTCCGGCCCCCAGGAGCCTGTGTGCACTGAGGACCCACCCCCACCCCAAGCATGGGGGTCTGACCTGTGGCAGGTGAGCAGTTCGGCTTCCGTGGCGGGACGTGCGGGCAGCGCGAGGCAGCGCCCCGCAAGGCCCAGCTCCTCCAAACGCTGCATGATTCGTAAGACTCGCTGAGGCATCTCTGGGTGGTGGCTGGGGTCGGGGGACAGGAACCAGAGGCAGGGCTTAGTGCTTGAGGAGGGGGAGGGATCTCCCCAAGCACTTAGCTGGTGGCCCTCCGACTGCATACTTGTCCCACAAGTTGTGGTGACCCATCATCCGCTGGTCATAGACCAGCCCTGTGCGAGCCTGTAGCATGGGCCACGTCAGGATCGGGAGCGCTGGGGGCCGCCACAGTCCCTCTTCATCCTTCTCCTCTGCGCTATCCTCCTCCAGGATGTCCTCCTCCGGGGTCTGAACTGCAACAGGAGGCCACATTCACCCCACTCCCCCACCCTGGATCCCTGTGATACTCTGGAACTTAGTTTACCCAAATGTATAAGGGGTGAGAGGCCTGAAACGGGGGTCAGTGAGAAAGGAGGCCTGACCCTCCCCCACCAAGGGGCCCCAGGAAAGGGTCTGGAAGAGAATCTCTCCCAAGGGCTCATGCCATGCTTGACCCCCCACCCAGCCCCCTCCCTGCCTCCTACCTGATCTTAGAAGGACCTCCCAGAAGGGCTCCAGGGCTTCCAGAGCGCAGCACAGTGACGCCAGGGCACTAGAGGGCAGGGGAGGAGAAAAGTGACCAAACAGCTAATGGGTAGACGGTGAGGGTCCTGCTTCTCCTCCGCCTGGGCTCACCTTGGGCAGGGGGCGCCAGGGGACTCCAGTGTGGGGCAAGGGTCTCCCAGAAGGGTGTGGAGTGAGGCACTGACGCCCTCAGCCAAGGAGCGAAGGTTGTAGCCACCCTGGGAAAGAAGGGTGTGGGGGGGGGGTATTAGGAAAGAATCAGGTGTTACCAGGGAAGAACAGTAATAGTAATACTAGGGCACTGACTACGTATCCAGCAATGAGGAATCTGAAGGGTGACTTACATTTTGTACACCAAACAGTGCTACGAGGTGGTCACAATTATCATGCCCATTTTACATAAGGAAAGCAGAGGCACAAGGAGGTTCAGGGACCTAGGTGAGGTTGTCCAGCTATTAAGTAGAAATGCTGGGACAGAAACTCCTGCCTGACCTGAAAGCTTGGCTCTCACATCCTCCTGGATCCGTGGGCTGAGAGATGAAGTAATGTCACTCACCTCCAGAGACAGGATCAGTTTGCCTTCTGCCAGACCCATGAGCAAGTGGGTTAGCTGAGCGAACCCTGCTGGAGTGGTGGCCATCTCGCCCTGGGGGGGACGTGGAGGGTCAGACTGGCTCCATGCAGCCCCCTTCCACCCATGAATCATCCCAGGGAGCCTGCCTTACCTTGGGGTCCCCTTGAAGGGCATCAAATCCAGCGGCCACCAGGACCAGCTGGGGCTGGAACTGAGGGGGAAAGGGACCACATGAGGCCAGATGCCCTCACGGCCCATCCCTCAACATCATTCTTGTCCCAACACCCCCCAGACTCCCAGGACCTCAAGGGCGACCGGCAGAAGGAGGTGCAGGAAAGCAGCAATATAGTCGGCATCTCGCATCCCCACCTGCAGACAGAGCGGCATGATGGGAACATTCTGCCCCCTGCCCCGAACTGGCTGAGAGGCAGGGGTGGGTCCAATTTGGGGGGCAAAGGGCAGGCAGACACTGACCTGGTTCCAAGGCACATTGATGGTATATCCCTGGCCACGACCAAAACCTATGGTGGACCAGTTAGAGGCCTTAAGGTGGGGCCAGAACCGACCCTGCTCATAACGGTGGATGGAGAAATAGAGGACGCTGGAGGGAGAGAAAAAAAAAAGAGGTGGGGGGCAGTTGAGAGTCAATCTCCCCCCAGACACCCCCAACCCACAGCTCCACCGTTCACTCAGCCACTTGTTCATTCTCTCATTAATTTCCTCATTAACTACTTAATCTATGCATTCATTCATCCTTCCATTCAGTCGCCAACTTACCGATCCTCTGATTCACTAATTCTCCCATTTATTCATTACTCCACTCACTCATTCATTTTGATCAACCGAATGCCTCCCTTGGCAAACACTGCTGCCCTCCTCAGTGCCCACTCAGTTCTAGTTCTGAGACCCTGAGGGCTCTGGGATCTCTCCCAGCTCCCAAGGGCTCCTGCTGTGGGGGACTCAAAAATCATACCAGCCTGCCCCTACCCCTGTGACCAAGGTGGTGGCAGCAGGGCAAATCCTGTGATGTTGGAGGCCCACAGGGGACATAGAGCTCTTAGCTGGCAGGATCCAACTAAGGTGGAAAAGCATCAGGCCCAACTGGGAAACTTAGCGTTTCCCCTGAAGGAAGTGTGGGGACTCAAGGGCTAGGGGCTAGGAGGCATGGGACTTGGTTCTGTGTGTGTAGCTGAGCTCAAGTGGGGGTGCTGGCGGAGGCTTCCTGAGGCCAGTGGGGGGATCTGTTCCTTCTCTCCAATACTTTACAGGGCACCTCTACTACTTCTTGTATTTTATTTTATTTTTTAATGTTGTTATTTATTTTTGAGAGAGAGAGAGAGAGTGCATGCACATGAAAGAGCAAGTGGGGTGGAGGGGCGGGGGGAGTGGGAGGGAGAGTCAGAGAGAGAGGATGATAGGATCCGTCAGAAGTGGGCTCTGCACTGACAGCAGAGAGCCCAATGTGGGCCTTGAACTCACGAACTGTGGGATCATGACCTGAGCTGAAGTTGGTCACTCAGCCGATTAAGCCACCCAGACGCCCCTACTTCTTGTATTTTATAGGTGAGAAACTGAGCACCCAGAGGAGTGAGGACTGATACACGGAACGGACACTGAAGACATGAAGGTACATGTTCTGATAGAACGCCTAGCAGGAGGCTTTGTGTGGGAGGGCTTCATTCTGACTGGGGTGATCAAAATGAATAATCTCTCCTCTATCTATCTATCTATCTATCTATCTATCCATCCATCTATCTGTTCATCCGCTCCCTGTCTTGTTCCAGAAAGAATTTAAAGCAGCAATTTTTTTTTTAGGGAAATACAAGAAATAGTGGTAAGCAATAAATCTAGACCAACTTAGTCACATTTTAATAAATGTGGTGGTGAAATTTTATGCAACCAATATAGAGACATTTTTGAAACGGAATTAAAATATCTAGGAATTAGGGAATGAAACCCATGTCAATGTTCTAGTCTTGAGTAGGTGGGAGATGACTGTTTTACTTTTAGCTCTGATAAATATCGGTTTAAAATTTTTTTTTAAGTTTATTTCGGGGCATCTGTGTGGCTCAGTCAGTTAAGTGTCAGGCTCTTGGTTTTGGCTCAGGTCATGATCTCATGGTTTGTGAATTCGAGCCCTGAACTGGGCTCTGCGCTGACAGCGTGGAGCCTGTTTCAGATTCTCTCTCCCTTTGCCCCTCCTACTCCCTCCCTCTCTCTCAAAAAAACCAAACAAAACACTTTAAAGCTTATTTATTTATTTGTTTAGAGAGAGAGAGAGAGAGAGAGAGAGAGAGAGAGAGAGAGAAAGAGAGAAAACATGAGCAGGGGAGATCATAACCTGGGCCGAAATCAAGAGTCAGATGCTTAACTGACTGAGCCACCCAAGTACCCTCTAAACTTTTTTTTAAAGTTTATTTATTTATTTTGAGAGATAGAAAGCGAGCATGAGTGGGAAAGGGGCAGAGAGAATCCCAAGCAGGCTCCAAGCTGTCAGCACAGAGCCTGACTATGTGGGGCTGGATCTCACCAATTGTGAGATCATGACTTGAGCTGAGATCAAGAGATGGCACTTAACCAAGTGAACCACCCAGGGGCCCCTAAACCTTTTTTCTTTTAGTAAGTTAACCAGTAGAGGAAGAGAAATACACAGTAGGACAAAAAGATGGTTATCAGGGGAAAAAAGGAATAAAGAAAATATTGGAAGAAAGCCAACCCCATGAGAGCTACCAGAGCCAAAAGAAGAATGAACACCCAGGAAAACTAAGTTTATAAAGCAAATAGCAGGAGGAGGTTTTAAAATAAGTTCCACTAATTTCCAATGAAAGAATGATGGACTGATAGCACAGGTTTACCTCCTTGCTCTCCCACAATCCCAGTCAGAAGATAGTAAAGGGAATTTTAAACAGGTATCCCAGAAAGACAGAGAATGGAAGAAAGGATGTTAGACAATTAGAGACTTCAATAAATCTCTGGAAAATAGTCTTTGAGGCTCCAGGGGCCCTGGGGGGGCCCTCTCTCATGCTGAGCAGGCCAGGGAGGGCACCCCAGATAACCTGAGGTTTCCCTTCTGGAGAAATCAAGTACAGATCCAGGTCAATGCACACAAAATCAATTCTGAATAGCTAATTCACTGAATGACCAATTCACTAGGTTTACTTCTTTTTTTAAGTATAGTTTTTTTTATTTTGAGAGAGAGAGAATGAGTGGGGTAGGGGCAGAGAGGGAGGGAGAGAGAATTCTAGGCAGGCTTTGCACTGTCAGTGCAGAGCCCTACACGGGGCTTGAACTCATGAACCATGAGATCATGACCTGAGCCAAGTTCACGAGTTGGATGCTTAACCCAGTGAGCCACTTAGGTGCCCCTCTTTATTTCTTTTAACTACTTAACTTTAGTTTACCTGTTTTTGTCATCTCTGTGATAGTATTTTAAGGCCTGATCAATTTGTCTCCATCCAGGACTCTGCTGATGGAGTTAAGAGCCTGAGGGATGGGGAACTAGGAGATTGAAGGGGATGGATAAGTGGTTTTTTTCATTTATACATTCTTATTCATGAGAAAGAATGAATTGAATATATTCACAATTTTTCATATCTGTGGATATCATCAATGATATATCCACAAAAGAACACAGTTATAGCCTCCAATGCATTTACTAAAACAAAAAGAATGATTAATGACATTAGAGAATTCTTGTTAATTTGCTTAGAAATGATACTATGGCTATGCTTTTTTAAAAATTCAAAATATATGCTCTATGTTTTAAAGATACACTCTAGAATATTTGGAGAAAAAATGATATGGTATCTGGGATTGACTTCAAAATATTACAGGAGGATGGCAGTGAGGGCAGGTACTGATGGCCAATTGAATTGATAAATGTTTTTTCTTAAGTTTATTTATTTTTTGAGAGAGCAGGGGATGGGCAGAGAGAGAGGGAGAGAGATAATCCCAAGCAGGCTCCACTCTGCCAGCGTGGAGCTCGAGGTAGGGCTCAAACCCAGGAACCTTGAGATTATGACCTAAGCCGAAATCAAAAATCAGAAGCCCAGGGTGCCTGGGTGGCTCAGTCAGTTAAGCATCCAACTTCAGCTCAGGTCATGATCTCACAGTCTGTGAGTTCAAGCCCTGCATTGGGCTCTGTGCTGACAGCTCAGAACCTGGAGCCTGCTTTGGATTCTGTGTCTCCCTCTCTCTCTGCCCCTCCCCAACTTGTGCTCTGCCTCTCAAAAATGAATAAATGTTAAAAAAATTTTTTTTAATATTAAAAAAAAGAATTGGAAGCCCAACCAACTGAGACACCCAGGCACCCCAAGTTGACAAATCTTGAAGCATTCGATTCAAGAAGACAGAAATGGACAAAAGAACACAGGATGAAGAAATTAATAAAGATTAAACAGAAAAAAATAATGAAATAAAAAAAATAAAACAGTGGAGATGGCCAAAAAAGCCAAAACCTGGATTTGAAAAAATAAGTACAATTGACAAGTGTTTGGCAAGGCGGAGGGTAAAACAAAGAGATGCCATCTCAAGACCAGACCTCCTTTTCTCTCTCTCAAAAATAAACTTGAAAAAAAAAGGAATTATAGGGGCACCTGGGTGGCTCAGTCAGTTAAGCATCTGACTTCAGCTCAGGTCATGATCTCACAGTTCGTGAGTTCCAGCCCTACATCCAGCTCTCTGCTGTCAGCTTGGAATCTGGAGCCTGCTTTGGATTCTGTGTCTCCAGCTCTCTTTGCCCCTCCCCACTTGTACTCTGTCTCTCTGTCTCTCTCTCTCTCTCAAATAAATACATATTTTAAAAAGATGAAAAGAAAAAGAACAGACCCCAATTTTTCTGGCATTTGGAAGGACCCCATCTAATACATGGCTTTCTGCCCACACTCCCTAAGGTTGAGACCTGTCAGTGGACACTTCCTGCCCCGATCCTAGGAAATACCTTTCAGGAAACAGACTCCCATGCACCACAGTTGAGCAGCCCCACGACTGCCACCTTCAACAGTGCTTTATTCTTTGGTATAAATGCCCATTAAGAATTGCTAGATATTCGAGGAAAACTGAGGAAATCTTAAAGCATATCTTTCTCTTTCCTTATAAAAATTTTTAAAAGTTTTATTTTTGGAAGAGAGAGAGAGAAAGAGAGGGGCCAAGGGAAAGAAAGAGAGAGAATCCCAAGCAGGCTCCACGCTCAGCATGGAGCCCAATGTGGGGTTTGATCCCATGGCCATGAGACACAACCCAAGCTGAAATCAAGAGTCAGATGCTTAACCAACTGAGCCACCCAGGCGCCCCTCTTTTCTTTCTTTTTTTTTTTTTTAATGTTTACTTATTTTTGAGAGAGAGAGAGAGAGACAGAGACAGAGTGCAAGCAGGGTAAGGGGAGAGAGAGAGGGAGACATAGAATCTGAAGCAGGCTCTAGGCTCTGAGCTGTCAGCACAGAGCCCAATGAGGGGCTTGAACTCACAAGCGGGGAGATCATGACCTGAGCCAAAGTCAGACGTTTAACCAATGAGCCACCCAGGTGCTCCTCTTTCTTATTTCTTCTTTATTTTTTAAAGTTTATTTATTTTTGAGAGAAAGAAAGAGCATGCACAAGTGGGGGAGGGGCAGAGATAGAGAGGGAGACACAGAATCTGAAGCAGGCTGTAGGCTCTGAGCTGTCAGGACAGAGACTTACATGGGGCCTGAACTCACGAATGGTGAGATCATGACGTGAGCTGAAGTTGGATGCTTAACTGACTGAGCCACCCAGGTACCCCCTTTCTTTTTTTAAAAGAATCTTTAGGTTTTATTTTTTATTTAAAATAGGCTTCATATCCAGCATGCAGCCCAGTGTGGGGCTTGAACTCACAACCCTGAGATCAAGACCAGAGCTGAAATAAAAACTCAGACACTTAACCGACTGAGCCACTCAGGTGCCCCAAAGCACTTCTAATTACTATTATATAAAAACATGCTAAGAGGGGTGCCTGGGTGGCTCAGTCGGTTAAGCACCCAACTTTGGCTCAGGTCATGATCCCATGGTTCTTGAGTTCAGGTCTGTATAAGGGAGCTTGAGCCCTGCTCTGGGTGAGCTCAAGCCTCTCTTCAGGCTCCATACTCTCATGATCTTTCTCTCAAAAATAAATAAATAAAAATGAAATAAAATAAAACAAAATTAAAAAGCATGCTAAGGAATGAGAGGGCATAGAAAGAGAGAGGAAGAAAGTGCTTTTGGAGATTAAAAGAATGTCTAAATACCGAATTCAACAGAAGGGCTTGAAGGTAAAATTGAGGTAATCTCCCGGGACACAGAGCAAAAGGAAAAAGAACACACAAGAGAACACACACACAAAACAGACCAGACAGAATACAGTAGAAGAAAGCATCAAAGAACTAATAGAAGAAAACGTCTAAGGATTTCAGAACAGCATGAGTCTTCAGATATAAACTGTCTACCTACTGCTAAGCAGAATGAAGGGGCCAGGGTGAAACTTCAGAACACTGGGAATAGAGAGAAGAACCTATAATCTTTGGAGAGGGAAACAGATTACTCAAAAAGGAATAAAAATCAGACATCTGTCAGCAACATCGAATGCTGGAAAATAATAAAGCAATGTCTAGAGAACAGCCAGCCTAGATTAAGTAATGGGCCACAGGAGCTCAGAATCTATGGGGGAAAGGGGGATTTTAGGTAGTCGGTATGAAAGAAGGGAGGATAAAACAACTATTTAGCAGTGTCCCTACTGACAAGGACCTGCTCAATCACTTTCTGCAGGAAGGGTGAGCTGGTACCACCTTTCTGGAGGGAAGTCTGGCTGTAGACCCTAGACTTTTAAAGCACACCGACCCTCTGACCCAGCAATCCATTATTGGAAATTTTACACTCAGAGAAGTGTAAAATTATGTATTTTTAAATTACATATTATAAAAATTACATATATATGTATACGCATATGTGCATACACACACATATACATGTGTGTGTGTGTGTATATATATATATATAGAGAGAGAGAGTTACATATTTTGCTGTAGAACTGTTAGTAGCAAAAAATGGAAAGCACCATAAATGTCCCAGGGATAAATGACCAGAGGTACAGCCATAAAATGGAATACTCAACAGCCCTTATAAAGACAGAGGTGTTTTTAAGAGGCACTAACCTGGAGAGGTGTGCATGACATGTGGCTAAATGCAAAAAGCAAGCTGCCACAGAACACACAGAGGATTGTCCCATTAGGCAGTGTGTTAATAATAATAATGAATATTCATACATCTAAAGGAAAAATTCTGTTTTAAGAATATAACCTAAACTATCAACAGTTATTTTGGAGGTTATAGGAATTATAGGAGACTCACTGCTTTAGACATTTCTAAATTATTAAGTTTTTAAAAGTTTATTTATTTATTTTGAGAAAGAAAGAGCATGAGTGGGGAAGGCACAGAGTGAGAGGGAGAGAGAGAATCCCAAGCAGGCTCCGTGCTGCCAGCATGGAGCCCAACACAGGACTCTAATTCAGGAACTAAGAGATCATTACCTGAGCCGAAACCAAGAGTTGGATGCTCAACTGACTGAGCCACCCAGGCACCCTTGTATTATTTAGTTTTTTAAATAATTTTTCAAAAATATTTTATTTATTTTTGAGAGAGATAGAGAGAGAGAGAGAGACAGCATGAGCAGGGAAGGGGAGAGAGAGAGGGAGACACAGAATCCAAAGCGGGCTCCAGGCTCTGAGCTGTCAGCACAGAGCCTGACATGGGGCTGGAATTCATGACCCGCAAGATCATGACCTGAGCTGAAGTCAGACACTTAACCAACTGAGCCACCCAGGTACCCCTATTTAAGTTTTTTATACAAGCACGTTGCAGTAGTCATAATCAGAAAGATAAAGTACTAATTTGAAGTTTACTCCAGCTCCAAGGTAAACTGGTGAACAAGATCTCCCAACATCTGTTGACTCAAATCTCATCTCTTCCACTCCTTCTCTGTGTGACCTTGTAACCTGTAAGCCTCAGTTCCCCCAGCTGTAAAATGGGGGACCCAACAGATCCTGCCTCAGACTGACCTTAAGAGAGAAAGCCGACACGCAGAGAGCAGCACAGAACCTGGTTCCAAGTTGGGCCCAATGAGTATGAATGCCTTCCCTTCCTGGGCCCCTTCTGGCTGGGCCCGTAAAGGTGGGGGGTGGCTGGGAGTCTAGCATCTAGGGTGTCACTTGTGGCATACCTGGGGTCCTGGTCAAAGGTGAACTGGGTTCCTTGACCGTGGTGAACATCCCAATCCACGATAAGGACCCTGTGAGGAGGACAGAGGAGGATACTATGTAAAAGAATCAAGATGTATCTGGGGAGGTGCCCAGACCAGAATACTCTACCCCATGCCACCCCCATCATACTCTCCCTGCTACTTGCTGCTGACCTCTGAATGTCATGCTTCTGTTGAGCGTAGCGGGCAGCCACGGCCACGTGGTTGAACATGCAATACCCATCCATAAGACTGTGCTGGGCGTGGTGTCCAGGAGGCCTGGGGAGGACAGGGAAGGCCACAGATTGGGGGTAGGGGGCCCTCCTCTGCAGAGATGGACTCTTACCCCCTCCCCAATTCTGGACCACCAACTCCCCAGTGTCGATGCCTGCAAATCTGCCAGGAACTGAGTAATTGGGGCCCCCAGACTCTCACCCACACTCTACTGCTCTCTCCCTAAAGGATATTTTACAACATTCATTAAAATTATCAGTGCATAGTGCTCACTTCAGCAGCACATATACTAAAAGTGGACCAGTACAGAGAAAATTAGCACGGTCCTTGCACAAGGATGACACACAAATTTGTGAAGTGTTTCTTCACTATATTGTACACCTGAAACTAATATAATGCTCTATGTTAACTACACTGGAATCAAAGCTTCAAAATATAAATAAATAAATAAATAAATAAATAAATAAATAAATAAAGTAAAAATTGTCAATACAGACACCCTCACACCCATTCTGCTCTTGGGGATGTAGCCCACAGTTCATATAACAAAAAAGGTGAAATAACATATTTGCCATGACGTGTTTTGGAAACAGCAAATGATTGGGGAGAACCAAAGTGCCTATCGCTAGGGGGCTGGTTAACTTCCTGTGCATTTGCAGTGGCATTCTATGCAGGTCTAAGCTATCTACTGTTAGAGGAAAGCTTTCCTAAGTGTAGAAGTGAAAAATGCACAGTATGGAAGGAAGCGTGTTTATGGAAGGGGGCATGTTGAGTGCAACTCCATTTGTGGCTAAAAAAGGGGAGGGAGGGGAAAGGCTGTATCTTCTGCATTTCATCAATTCTGGGATGCCAACGATGCTAAGATGTGCAATGATTTCACATGCCAATGATAAAACAAGATGCTGCTAACTGAATTCTGAGACACCATTGTTAAGATGAACCGGGATTTCAAGATGATAAAATCTAGATCTTAGCATTGATGGAATATGGCATTTACTCCATGAACAGGCACAGAATGTTTCTGGGAGGACACATGAGTCACTGGTTACAATGACTACCTCCAGGAAAGGAAGCAGGTTGTGTGGGAGGATGGGGGTTGGGGACTTTTTGTACCCACTTTTGTACCTTTTGACTCTTGAACCATGTGAATATACTACCCATACCAATACATTTTACATTTGAGGGAAAGAATTTATTTCAAATATACAAAGCCAAATGCTGGTGGGTCCTACCTGATGATGGCCATGCCATTCCGTATCTCCTTCCCCAGGACAGCATCCACCAGCCTGAGGACAGAGCCTGAGGCCAGGCAGGCACAGGTATAGGAGTTCTGAAGAGACAATGGGAGCCATAGAGAAAGTAAGAGGGAGGGCAGTCCTGTCCACTCAGCTGCTCCTCCCCCGGATGGGATGGGCATGGGGACGGGAAACCCCAGGATTGCCACCATGCTCCATCCTCACAGCTCTCATCCATACCGGATGTAGATAAACTGAGTCATAGGTGTCTGCTAGGATGCGGAGCTCTCTCTCATTCATGTACTGGGTCGTCTCCATCAGATCAATGTATTCTAGGCTGGCGACAGAGGCAGAATGAGATTCAAGCACCTGCCTCCCTCCTGGGCCTGAGTCAGGGCCCTGTCCCTTCCCCATATGAGCCCTGGTCAAGTCAGGCCCCCTCAAATGTCAATGAAAGGGAATAGCTGGGATATAGGACACATCCCCTGCTTCTTCCCTAGCCTGCTTAATTTCTAGTAATAGCCCTTGCCCTCTGCTCTAGCCACAATAAATCCTACTCCTAGGCCACTGGCCATACTGTTCCAGCTGTCTATACCTCCCTTCCCTCAGCTTCCCTCTTCATCTGACTCACTCTTTTTCTCAGCTCAGATATATCCCCTCTGCCAAGTTAGCTTTCCTTGAATCACATCACATGAGAGCCCTTACTCTGGGTTCCTACAGCTCCATGAGGGAAACCCCTGATCACCCTGTCCACACATCCAGCATATGTTTACACACTAGACTATAATAACAACAACAGCCTATCATGGGCTGATGACCTAGCAGGCCCTCTGGAAGAGCTTCCATTTACTAGTTCCTATGTGATCGGCAATGACTGTGAGATTAGGAGAGGCTCAGCCACTTGCCCAAGGCCACAGGGCCCATGACATTCCTTCCCAAAGAATCCAGCATGCCCTGGCAGCCTCCTCCCCATCCCTACAAAGTTCCGAAGCCTTCACCTGTGAACCAACATCAGTTCGTCCTTTTCAGCAAATCGAGCCTAGGGGGACATAAGAAATAAAGCGCTAAGGCACTGGCCACACCCAGGCTCTGCCAGCTTCCGTCCACCACCCAGTGTGTCAGCTGGGGGGACTCACCTGAAAGGACACACAGCGGTCCAGGAGGCCCTCCTGGATCAGCTGTTCCTTGATGGCATGGAGCCGTTCAGGGCCTTCAGGGAAGCTGGGTTGACAAGAGACACAGTCATACACACATACACACACACATACTCACACACACACACACACACACACACACACACACACACACACAGGGACACTGGTGAGCACCACATCTGCTCCTGTACATCTTCCTCATCTATCCTTCCACAGCTGCTTGTGCCAGAATCTTCAGAGTCATCCCTGGCATTTGTTGGCTCTGCTCTTGTAATATATCCAGAACCTGCCCTTCTCCTTGTCGCCCCCACTGCTGCCACCAGAACCTCCCACCTGTGCTGCTACACTCAGCTCCTCACTGGCCTCTCTGCTTCTGCGCTCACTCCCCCAGAAGCCCTTCCTCCACACAGCAGCCAGACATTGATTAAAACCCAAATCAGGTCACGTCTCTCCTGTACTTAAAACTTTCTCATGATTCCCCTCTCATTCAGAGTCAAAGCCGAAGTCCTCTCCATGCCCCAGAAGGCTGTGAAACACTTGCCCCATAGCCTCTCAGATGCTAGGCTCTCCCCCCACTCTGCTTCTCCTGCACTGGTCTCCTCCCTGTTCCTCACCCAAACCAAAGTACTTTTCAGCTATCTTCTTTCCCTGTGTTTTTAAAAACACTCTCCTCCCAGGAGAGTGGCTGGGTGACTCAGTTGGTTAAGCACCCAACTCTTGATTTTGGCTCAGGGCAAGATCTTGCAGTTCATGAGTTCGAGACCCACATCGGGCTCTGTGCTGACAGTTCAGAGCCTGCTTGGGATTCTCTCTCTCTCCCTCCCTCTCTGTCCTCCCTTGCTCTCTCTCTCTCTCTCTCTCTCTCTCTCTCTCAAAAAATGAATAAACTAAAAACCAAACCACTCTTCTCCCAGATGTCTCCATGTTTCACTCCCTCACCTCCTTCAGACCCCTGCTCAAAGATCAGCGAGGCCTTCCCTGACCATCTTATTTAAAACCGATTCCCCTTGGGGCACCTGGTGGCTCAGTCGGTTGAGCATCCAACTTTGGCTAGTGTCACGATCTCATGGTTTGTGGGTTCAAGCCCCATGTCAGAGCCTGGAGCCTGATTCAGTTTCTGTGTCTCCCTCTCTCTCTGCCCTCCCTGCTCACTCTCTCTCTCAAAAATAAATAAACTTAAAAAAAAAATGGATTCCCCTCAACCACATTTTCTGCCACTCTCCTTCTTGCATCAGTGTTTCTATGCAGCACCTCTTTCTAACACACTCGACATTTGCCTTTTGTTTACTGTCTTCTCCCTCCAAAATGCAATCCCCGTGAAGGCAGGGGTTCTGTTTGTTTTGTCTACTGTGGTGTCCCTAGCTCTTCAGAAGATGGTAGGTATGTATTCAATAGTGAAGTCTTTTGCCATCATGAGTCTTCTGTTGGGACAGAGGAGACCAATACTAACCTGCTAAATATGTTAAGTATGATAGTGAATGAACGATGACACAAGCTGGGAATATCCCAAAGATCAGCTGGGTGGCCAGGGAAAGCCCTCCATGAGGAAGTCTCTTTGAGAGGTGAATGTTAACAGGGAGAGGAGAAGGTGGAAACGAATCTCTGGAAAAGGGACCAGCCAGGGTAAAGACCCAAGCTGAGAAGGCCTGGCATGTTGGAAGCACAGCAAGGGGACCAGTGTGGGTGAAATGAAGAGAAGCAAGTGAGGGGGAGGATTGGCTAATGAGGTCACTGAAGTGGTGTGGAGCCAGATCATGTGGAACCTTAGAGGCCAGAATGAAGAATGTGGACTTTACCTTGAGGGCAACGGCAAAATCCTGAAGGATTTTAAGAAAGAGAACATCACTGAAACTAACATAACATTGTATGTCAAACGTACTTCAATTTAAAAATGTAATTAAAAAAAAAAAGAAAGAGGGGGCGCCTAGGTGGCTCAGTTGGCTCAGGTCATGATCTCATGGTTCATGAGTTTGAGTCCTGCATCGGGCTCTCTGTTGTCAGCACGGAGCCTGCTTTGGGTCCTCTGCCCCCCTCTTTCTTTCTGCCTCCCACCCTCCCGCTAAAAATAAATAAAAACACTTTTAAAAATTAAAAAAAAAAGAATGATAACATATATTTTTTTTGGCTTCGTTGTGAAGAACAGACAGCAGGGCTGAGGGCTGAGGATGGAAACAGGGGGCCAGTGAGGAGGCCTCCGAAAGTCTAGGGGAGTGATGGTGATGGTGGCAGTGGAGGCAGTGAGGAGAGGTCAGATACTGAATACACTTACAACACAGAGCCAAAAGAATTTGCTGATGGATTGACATGTGTGTGCAAATGGGAGGTATAATTCTTCCAGTTCAGCATGAGTGTCCTTTCTTCAACGAAGCCTTCTGTGAACCCGGGATGCTAGTCTAGGGACCTCTATTAAACACTCTTGAATACCCTGGTCTTAGGTCATCCTTCATTAAACACCTTACACCACTGTTGGCTGTTTAACAATTGGCTCTCCTACTCAGCTATAAGCTCCATTAGAAGGGACCCTGTATGTCTTGTCTGATGTTGGTGTTACCAACTCCCAGAACACAGTGAATACTCGGTAAGTGTTGGCTAAATGGAATCTTTTCAAGCCTACGCCTCACCTCTCTAAATCATGGGCTTCCAGTCTCTAGGCTAGCATAAGAATGGATTCATTCTTGCTAATGGGCTCTAAGTGTGTCTATTTGTGTGTTTGTGTCCCTCCAGGGGACAGCCTGGAGGAGCCAGCCTCACCTGTCATCCCAGAGGCAGTGGAATTCATTTAGCTGCTCATCGAACACCAAACCAGTGCCAGACAGTGTCTTGGCCTCAAGGTTCAGATCCTGCAGGGAAAAAAATGGGAGACACCAATCCATTCAGGGCCTGAGTCAGAAGGAACACACTATACTGTCCAGGAGGGTGAATCACAGGGTTTTGATTGTCACAAGAGGTGAAATCCATTGAGGCTAGGCCACTCTCACCAGCCTTCGCAGGTCCATGATTAGGTCTTGCTCTGCTGCTTGGCTGAGCTTCTTCATTCTGCCTTTCTTCTTTACCTCTGCTAGACTAGGGCTGGAGGAGAGTATGGCACCCTTCTTAACACCTCGCTTCTGCCAAACAGAGAGAAGGGTCAGATTCCAGTGCACGGCCCACTGCTCCTCCCCCCGGATCGGGCAGGTCTGGGGCCTCACCGAGGTGACGCTGGAGTCGTGGGGGGGCGAATGGGGGTTATGCCTACTCCTTCGCTGCCTGGTTGAGGTGGAATCCTGGCCCGTGGAGGTCATGGTCGGGGAGACTTCACCCCTGACGCGGTTCTGGGCGGTGGGATGGAGGTGACCGTGAACCAGCCGGAGTGCCCGGAGGACCCCACACCCCAGCCCCTTCCCAGGCCCCGCCCCCTATACAGTCTCCATCCCTTCTGCTATCCTATTCCCCACTGCCTTCTAAGCTCCGCCCCTTTCAAGGCCCTCTCCTTCCACTGGGTTGTCAATTCCACCTGGTCCCGCCCATCCTACCAGGCTCCACCCTTTAACACTATTCTTTCCCCTCGAAAAGTATTGCCCCTTAGCTGAGCAATAAACCCCTAGGCTCAGTGCGTCTTAGGGCCGGCCCTTTTCAGCTAATCACCACCCTTTCCGCTCCCCCAAGCCCCATTCCCAGACTCTCATTCCTCCAAGCCTCGCCCAGACCCCACCCCTTCACAAATCTGCCCCTTCCAACTAATCTCCGAGGATAATCACCCACCCTTTCACTCAGCCAGACTCAGACCCAGCTCCGGCCCGGACTCCACCCTTAACGATCCACTTAACTCCACCCCTTATCGGGCCGGACCCACACCTTCCACTTGGCCAGATCCCGCCCCTAACGTTTCCACAAGCCCCGCTCCTCAGGGGACTGCCCCTTTCCAAGATCCCGCCCCCTGCCCAAATCCTACCCCTAAAGCTCCATCAAACCCCTTCAGCCAGTTTCGGGCCGCCTACCGTCAGTCCCCTCCCCCTTTCCGCCCCCTGCTGTCGACGCCGACCAATCGCTTCAGCTCCACTCACTGGGAGCGGCCCTTTTCTCAAACTCCGCCCATGGCTCACGCTGCGAAATGTCTGGCGACCCGCCGGGCGGCGAGTGCTTGAGGCCCGCTTTTCCATTGGGCCGGTTTCTCTACCAACCGCCCAATCCCGCCCACACTGCGTCCCGGAAAGCAGGGCTGCGCCTCTCCTGCAGGCCACACCTCCCGCCAGCTCACAAATGCCGTCTGTGCGTCAAAGCGCCGACGCTAGCCGTGCGGCGCCTGCGTAAGCCTGCGCCGGCGGTTCGAGGCGGTACTCAGGCTCAAGCTCGCCCCTCCCCCAGCCACTGCCGCCGTCGTCCTGGTTGCCGTAGGTGCTGTGCCTCCGTCCTTGTCCAGTCACCTTAGGAGTCCTCCGGACCCGAGCCTACTGTGCCGTACGATGACTCGAGAGCAAGCAAGCAAACAAGCGAGAGAATTAGGAAGGGGCGTCCCGTCTTCTCCCGGCGGCTTCCCGCGCGGCGCGCTGTGATGACGTAGCGCAGGCGGACTGGCGGCTGGGTCCCGAGCGCGGTTGAAACTGGACGAGGGCTGGTGGCGGCCAAAATGGGTGTGGTGATGATGTTAAATATTGTGAGCGTTTTCTGAGTTAAAATTAACTAAGGCGGTCCACAGGAAACACTCAATAAATGTTAGCTATGGATATTCTGCCACGAAAATGGGGGGGGGGGTAGGATGGAAGGATTCTTAGTGGGGGGCAAATAATTGTGATGATAGCATGTAATATGTGACAGGCATTATCGTAAGTCACAATTTTGTGAAGTAGTTCCTATTATTTTTAAATTTTAATTTTTTGAGACAGAGACAGAGCATGAGCAGGGGAGGGGCAGAGAGAGAGGGAGACACAGAATCCGAAGCAGGCTCTAGGCTCTGAGCTGTCAGCACAGAGCCCAACGCGGGGCTTGAACTCACGGACTGTGAGATCATGGCCTGAGCTGAAGTCGGACGCTTCACTGAGCCACCCAGGCGCCCTGAGGTAGTTCCTATTATTAATGTTGCTTCGCAGATAAGGAAACTGAGGTTACACGACTTAGCCATGTGACCTTGGGCAAGTTGCTGAACATCTCTGTGCTTCAGTTTCCTCATCTGGCAAATTATGATAATAGTGCCCGGGGCTGGAATGGACTCAAGGAGGGGAGTTGTACTTGCACAGCAGTTCTTTCTCCAGCTCCCTCCACTGGGCAACCTCTGCCCCCAAATTCTAATATAAAATGTGTGCCTGGGAAGTAGGGGGGAGTTTCACCCGTGTGCCCCTCCAGCTCCCTCACATGCCTTGTCTAGATGTGTAAATATCAGCCCCGCAGGAGGCCCGTTTGCCCTCCTAATCTCCCTCTCTCATTCTTCACCATTTCCTACCGGGCTGTAGGCTGGGGCTGAAGAGATAAGCCGTCTGGGGTTCAGCATCGCTGACTAACAAACAGATTGACAGCCCCATCGCCCAGTAGCCTGGCCCTATGACCATTTTGAAAACCCCAGTTCCACCCTTCTCCTTCCTTCCACTCTTTTCCTACCAGAACATGGGTTTTTTTTTTTTTTTTGTCCCAGTGGAAGAGGATCAAGTCCTAAGACCTTTAAACCCCCACATACACCAAAGAAAACATTTGATACACTGGGAACATTCTGGGGTTTTGATGCCTGCAGACTAATAGAGTAGGGAACCCTGTAAGACCCATGGCCCATTTTTCTGTATAGTCAGAAGACAGATTCCTGAAGAGCAGAGGTCAGTAAACTTTCTCTGTAAAGGGCCAGATAGATAGTAAATATTCTAGGCTTTGCAAGCCTTATAATGGCCTCTTTGGCATATTCTTTCTTTCCATTTAAAAATGTAGAGATTGGCTGAAGTCTGGCTTTGGCCTGAAGGCTGTAGTTTTCTCATCCTACTGTAGAGTGTCAGTCTTTGATTTCCTTTATCTGGCTGGGATTCTTTTACAGGAGGAGTGCAGAGTTTCCATGCATCCTGAGGAGAGGTACTCCTTTTGTGTGAGGACTGGGATTCATGGACAGGATCAGGTCACTTCTGGTGTTCTGCTGAGTCAGCCTGGACATAGTGTTCCTGGACATAGTGAAGACAGGGATTCCTGTAGTTTCTATAGTTTTGTTCCTCTACTGAACCAAGCAGGGGTTTCTCTTTTTCATTTTTTTTTATGTTTATCTATTTTTGAGAGAGAGAGAGAGAGAGAGAGTGCAATCAGGGGAGTGGCAGACAGAGAGGGAGACACAGAATCTGAAGCAGTCTGCAGGCTCTGAGCTGTCAGCACAGAGCCTGATGTGAGGCTTGAACCTACGAACTGTGAGATCATGACTGAGCCAAAGTTGGATGCTTAACTGAGCCACCCAGGCGCCCCCAAGCAGGGGTTTCTACAGGACAAGACAGTTGTTTCTGGCGAGCTCCAGACTGGAGGATCCCGTACAAGTTCAGGATGGTACTCCTTAAACTGCATTATGACAGTGTGCTACAAAGAGACCAGGTGGTCCAGATCAGGGTCAGCACAGGTGTTTCTGTACAGGTTCAGAGCTGTGTTAATGTAGACCATAGGAACAGGTGTTCGTGTCTAGATTCAATCAAGAAATTGTTATCAATAGGGCTAAATTATGCTAGCTCCTGTAACAAACCCAGAATTTTAGAGGATTAACAAATAAATGTTTATTTCTTGCTCGTACAAAGTCCAATGTGAATATTTATTACTGGTCATTCAGGGACTCAGGTAGCTTCCATTTTGTGGCTCTGCTCTCCTCTGAGTCTTTGGGGTTCTCACCATTCAACTGGTATATGGGGAAGGAGAGAGAGTGGGGGATTCCATGAGAGGTTTTTATGGGCCAGGCCTGGAAGAGGTGTATATCATTGCCCATATGCCATTGATCAGAACTCTGTCACATGTCCACATCTAACCATAAAGGAGGTCAGAAAAGTGAATGAGGTTAGGAAAACAGGTTTGATGAGCCAATAGCAGTGCCTGCTACAGGATTCTATAAACCCCAAAGAGCTGCAATGTCCAGTGTAGTAGCCACAGTCAGAATAGTGGTTCCTGTACTGGGTGAGGGTGGGACTTCCAGGGCAAGGCCAGGGCCAAGGCTGTCAGGGTCACATCAGGGCTTCCTGTTCGGGGTCAAGAGAGTATTTCCAGAAAGCAAGGTTAGAGGTTCCTGTGAGTCGAGTTATGGGTTTCTATTGATAGGAAAAGGTTTTCTATAGAGTCCAGTCAGAGGGTTCCAGTATAGTTGTAGGCAAGGCTTCCTGTAGAGGGTCAGGGCTGTGGAGCTAACACATGTTAAGGATAGGAAGCCCTGTACAGTGTGTGTGTGTGTTGGGGGGGGGGTCCTGTGCCAGGTGAGGCTATAGGTACCTGTAGAAGATGAGGTCTGGGCTTGAAGTAGAGGGTCAGGAAAGGATTTTTTTTTTTTTTTTTAAGGAAGGCGATTTCTATGTAAGTTCAAGACTAAAGTTCATGTTAAGAGTGGGAACATGGGTTCTTGTGAGATCAGGAATTGTGTAGAGTGACATGGGGGTGGGGGCGCTCATTGTCAACAATGGAGGCAAGAGATCATATATTCAGTCAGTTCCTGGAGAGGTTGAAGATGGAATTTCTTTTTTTTTTTTTAATTTTTTTTTCAACGTTTATTTATTTTTGGGACAGAAAGAGACAGAGCATGAACGGGGGAGGGGCAGAGAGAGAGGGAGACACAGAATCGGAAACAGGTTCCAGGCTCTGAGCCATCAGCCCAGAGCCCGACGCGGGGCTCGAACTCACGGACCGCGAGATCGTGACCTGGCTGAAGTCGGACGCCTAACCGACTGTGCCACCCAGGCGCCCCAGAAGATGGAATTTCTGCAAAGAGAGCCAGGTAGGGGTTCAGAACCAGATTTTATTGGGGCGCCTTTTATTACTAAGCCTAGGTGGCTTAGTCGGTGAAGTGTCCAACTTTGGCTCGGGTCATGATCTCATGGTTTGTGAGTTTGAGCCCGGCATCGGGCTCTCTGCTGTCAGTACAGAGCCTGCTTTGGATCCTCTGTCCCCCTCTCTCTGTTCCCCTTTCCTACTCATCCTCTTTCTCTCTCAAGAATAAAAATTAAAAAAAAAAAAAACCTTTTCAGAACTAGATTTTATTGTGATTGAAGCATTTCTAAAATGTTATCTGGAGGGCTAGGCTCCAATACAGTGTGAAGACAGAGGTGTCCTGTGCAAGGTCAAGGCAGGATTCCTATAGAGAGGTCGAGGCTAGTGAAGAGGGTCAGGACAGGTGTTTCTAAAGAGATGGTAAAAGGGCTTCCTTACAGTATGAGTTCACAGATTCCTAACTAGGGTTAAGTCAGAGGTTCCTGTGCCATGGGAGGACGGGGTTTCCTCCTATTCAAGGTGAGGGCTGATATTCCTATCCAGGGTCAGGATGGGTTTCCTGTTGCTAAATAGAGAAAGAGTTCCCTTAGAGTATCAGACTAGGGCAGCCATTCTTCTAGGAGCTGAGGACTGGGGCTCCTGAACAAGGTGGGAGCAGGCACATTTCCAGCACAGGTTCTGAAAGGGGTTTCCGTTCAAGACAAGGACAGGGGCTCCTACAAGGTGACAGGGCTGAGGTTCTATGGGGTGACCAGGCAGGCAGGAGGCTTTTATAAGGCCAGGGCAGTTCTGGACAGCCCCTGTAATGAGCATAGCCTGCTGTGATTCCGCAGTGGGCTGGCATGGCGACTAGCTAAATAAGTGCTGTTCTAAGGACAACTGCTTACTCCCTACTGTGTTTAGGACATGTGCCCCCCCCCCCCCACCCCCGCTCCTTGCAGCCCTTTTCTCTGGGGCTCTAGGAGAAAGCCATAAAGAGAAGCAGCCCAAAAGCAAATTCAGCTGAGTATATTGAGGAGTGAGTGATGAGAGGGAGAGAGAGGCCAGTTAAGTGTGAGCAAGACTCACATCAGGGGAAGCGGCCCCATCCAAAATCCACTCCTTAAACTCAGTGTGGTCAGGTGGAGTTACTCCAGTTCTGAGCCTTACTTTTTCATTAGTAAAATGAAAATGTAAAATAAGTATCCTTTCTTTGGAGCATTTTTTTGCAGGCGTTCATGAACTAAAGCAACTGAAGCCTCCCAGCCATTGCCCGACCCACACAAACACTCAGCAAGTGGTGCTGCTTGCTGTCAGGAGCTGCTGGGGAGTATGGACACTAAGACTCAGAGCCTGGCTTTGGCCCCGTGTCACCAGTTGTGTGGCCTCAAACGAGCCACTTAACCTCTCTGGCTTAGGATGCCACCCAACTCAGCGCATGTTCCTATGTAAGGGTCTCCTTTTTGGAAGAACAGATCCCACTCTGGGCAGAGCCATTCACCCAGGTGAGTAGGTGTGTTAGAGAGGGAGTTGGCACTACGGGGAGCTCCCCCACCTATGGGGTCTAAATATTCACCCCCAGATGCTATTTTGTTCTCCTAATCTTCCCTTCTCCTTCTCTTCCATTTCCCACAGAGCTGCAGGCCGAGCTGGGCCGAGAGAGATAACAGATGAATGACAGGGAAGGCCCACGGACAACCCCATGGTCCTGCACTGGCCATCTGACCTTCTTGCCAGCTACCATTCCAGCCCCAGCCCTCCCCCTTTCCTGTCCTGCACATGCCTTTTGTTCTCTGG